GGAGGCCGGTGCAAAGCAGATGCGGAGGGCGCCTCAGGAGGAAGGTGGCGCTCGTGAGCGTGGGCGTTTCGCCGGGGGCCTCAGGCCCCGCTGGGCCAGCGGGCAGCCCGGCCCCGGGGGCGCCGAGCTCGCCGGCATCATGTGCGACGAGGAGGCGCATCGAGTGTTGCGTCTCTTGGGCCTCAAGAGCAAGAGCGAGTTGGTGGACTACGTCCGCGACCACGAGGTTCCGACGATGCTGGCGCTGGAGTACGCGGCCTACGCGCACGACGAGGTGCTGCCCGTGCGAGCCCGATCGGGCTCGAGAGGCCCAGCGGCCGGCAGCGCGGCGACGCGACCGCCGCCCTTCGACGAACGAGCGCCCCCTGCTGCTCGAGGGCCCTCGGCGCTGTCGAGGTGGCTTTTCGGCGCCGCTACGGTGGGCATGGTGATGCCGCTGAAGGTCGTGAAGGAGGTGAACTTTGCGGACCGGGTCGGCCTGGCCCCGACGGTGGAGACGATGAAGATCGGTACCACGACGCTGGTGAAAGACCAGCTGCGCCCCCTGCAGCGCGACCTGCAGGTGATCAACATCAAGCCCGAGGCCTACTTGACGGAGTTCGGGCCCGCCTGCGACTCGTGGGAGGCCGAGTGCGAGGCGGCGGTCAGCGAGAAGACCGGGACACGGCCGTGGATCACAGAGGTGTTCACGACGCAGTAGGCGGTGCGCATGGAGGCGGCAAGGAAGGGGCCCCCGACCATGAGGAGCTACTCGCTGGAGTTTGGTGACGACTTGCGATCGCCCAAGAATCGCCGCGAGGTGATGCAGGACATTAAGACGAAGAAGCCGGAGTTGGTGCCGATGGCTTTCCCGCGCAGCCCCTGGAGCAAGCCGACTTACTTCCAGAAGGACCAGGCCAAAGTTCAAGAGCGACAAGATCGAGAGCGATTTTTCAGGTTTGTGAGGGAGGTGGCGAAGGTCGTGAAAGGTTATAGAGGTGCTGCGGTGCTTGGTTGATCGAGAACCCGAGGTGGTCTCGAGTCTGGAGTGAGCCAGAACTTAGAGAGCTCATCAAGCAGGGCTACGCCACGGAGGTGGACCAGCGCATGTACGGGCTCACTCAGAGCGTGGAGGGGCACAGCAGAAGCCAACGAGGTTTCTTGGGGTCACATGAGGAGCTGCTTGTGGACCTCGACCGGCAATGCGACCAATCGCACGAGCACGACCTCGTCATGGGGGGCCCGCGCGTGATTGCGCGGACGGGCCACTACACATCGGAGCTGGCCCCCAAGAGGCGCCCCAAGAGGCCACCAGGAGGCCAAAGTCATTGCTCTCCTATGGGATAAGGTGCATTCTTAGCATACAAGGCTTTTTGGCTTTCACGGCGTTGAAGACGCTCCGGAAGGCCCCAAAGACCACCCCAAGACGACCCAAGAGGCCCCCAAAACTGCCCAAGAGGGCGCCACGACGGCCCAACAGGCGCCCAAGACGGCCCAAGAGGGCCCGAAGACGGCCCCAAGAGGGGGACCACGAACCGACAAGTCTAGCCTTTCGCCCCAAGAAGCTCCCAGGAGGCCCCCAGAGCCCCCCAATAAGCCCCAAGAGGCCCCCAAGAGGTTCCCACGAGGCTTCCAGAAGGGCCCGAAAAAGGGCCCCAATAGGACTCCCAAGAAGGCCCAGAGACGCCAAATAAAGAGCGATCGATAACGCAAAAAGGTCTTCACACCAAGGCTCCCAAGAGTGAACGGTGACGTAAACAAGCTGATAAGACCAAGGCTCCCAGCAGAGAGCGGTGACGTAACAAGTTCCTGACACCAAGGCCCAGCCAAGGCTCAGGAACGGGCGGCAACGCAACAATCTCTGAACACCAAGGCTCCCAAGAGCGAGGGGTGACGTAACAAGCTCTCAACGCAAAGGCTCCCAGCACGAACGGTGGTGTGAGTAATTTCGGTTCCTCTTTCTGAAGCGCTCTTTCCGTTTCTGTGTTGGGCCCGGGTAACGGAAAGAGCGAGGTACGAGTGACGACGTTCTGGTGTGGGCGAAGCCCACGGCGTTGACGACGGCCCAAGAGGCCCCCAAGACCGCCCCAAGACGGCCCAAGAGGCTCCCAAGAGGCTTCCAAAACGGCCCAAGAGGGCCCCGAGAGGGTCCAGGAGGCGCCCAAGACGGCCCAAGAGGGCCCCAAGACGGCCCCAAGAGGGGGACCACGAACCGACAAGTTTAGCCTTTCGCCCCAAGACGTTCCGAGGAGGCCCCCAGAGCCCCCCAAGAAGCCCCAAGAGGCCCCCAAGAGGCGTCCCAAGACGCCACCAGGAGGCCAAAATCGTTGATTTCCGATGGGAAAGGTGCATTTTTAGCATACAGAGCTTTTCGGCTTTCACAGCGTTGAAGTTGGTCCAAGAGGCCCCAAAGATCACCCCAAGACGGCCCAAGAGGCTCCCAAGAGGCCCCCAAAAACTGCCCAAGAGGGCCCCAAGAGGCCCAAGAAGCGCCCAAGAGGGCCCCAAGACGGCCTCAAGAGGGGTCCACGAACCGACAAGTCTAGCCTTTCGCCCCAATAAGCTCCCAGGAGGCCCCCAGAGCCCCCCAAGAAGTCCCAAGAGGCCCCCAAGAGGCGTCCCAAGAGGCCTCCAAAAGGGCCCGAAAAGGGCCGCAATAGGACTCCCAACAAGATCCAGAGACGCCACATAGAGAGCGATCCGTATCGCAAAAAGGTCTTCACACCAAGGCTCCCAAGAGCGAACGGTGACGTAAACAAGCTGATAAGACCAAGGCTCCCAGCAGAGAGCGGTGACGTAACAAGTTCCTGACACCAAGGCCCAGCCAAGGCTCAGGAACGGGCGGCAACGCAACAATCTCTGAACACCAAGGCTCCCAAGAGCGAGGGGTGCCGTAACCAGCTCTCAACGCAAAGGCTCCCAGTAAGAACGGTGGTGCGAGAAATTTCGGTTTCTCTTTCTGAAGCGCTCTTTCCGTTTCTGTGCCGGGCCCGGGTAACGGAAAGAGCGAGGTACGAGTGATGACGTTTTTGGTGCGGGCGAAGCCCTTAAGGGAGGGGGTCCAGGGGGGGGGGGCGTAGCGCGAGCAAATGAGTGTCAATGTCCGTTTTCGAGTTTTCCTTTGGGTTTTTGCATGTTTTTCGGGTTCCCCCCCAAGACGGCCCCCCAAGAGCGTTCCAAGAGAGCCCAGGACCGCCGAACACGGCCCAAAAGGCCCCCAAGCGGCCCCCAAGAGGCGCCAAAGGGGCGACCCAAGAGGGCCCCAAGAGGCCAAAATCATCGATGTCCCATCGGGAAACGGACATTGTTAAGCATATACGGCTTTTCGGCTTTCATGGCGTTGACGACGGCCCAAGAGGCCCCAAAGATCGCCCCAAGACGGCCCAAGAGGCTCCCAAGAGGCTTCCAAAACGGCACCAGAGGGCCCCAAGACGGCCCCAGAGGCGCCCAAGACGGTCCAAGAGGGCCCCAAGACAGCCCCAAGAGGGGGACCACGAACCGAAAAGTCTAGCCTGTCGCCCCAAGACGTTCCCAGGAGGCCCCCAGAGCCCCCCAAGAAGCCCCAAGAGGCCCCCAAGAGGTTCCCACGAGGCTTCCAGAAGGGCCCGAAAAAGGGCCCCAATAGGACTCCCAAGAAGGCCCAGAGACGCCAAATAAAGAGCGATCGGTAACGCAAAAAGGTCTTCACACCAAGGCTCCCAAGAGTGAACGGTGACGTAAACAAGCTGATAAGACCAAGGCTCCCAGCAGAGAGCGGTGACGTAACAAGTTCCTGACACCAAGGCCCAGCCAAGGTTCAGGAACGGGCGGCAACGCAACAATCTCTGAACACCAAGGCTCCCAAGAGCGAGGGGTGACGTAACAAGCTCTCAACGCCAAGGCTCCCGGTACGAACGGTGGTGTGAGTAATTTCGGTTTCTCTTTCTGAAGCGCTCTTTCCGTTTCTGTGCCGCGCCAGGTCGAATGGCTTTCGACCCATCCCGCCACCGTGCTCGGGATGTGGGTATGAAGCCGATAGGATGTTGGTTGGGATCTCGTGGGAGGACTCTCAGGGGCCTCTTGGAGGCAGTTTGTAGGTCTCTTTGGGGCCGTTTTGGTGTCTCTTGGGTCATCTACTGGGCCTCTTGGGGGTCTCAAGGGGCCTCTTGGGCCCCTCTTGAGGCCTCCTGAGGGCCTCTTGGGGCGGAAGGCTAGGATTTTCGGTTCGTGCTCCTTGTCTTGGGCTCCGTTCGGGGCCGCCTTGGGGCCCTCTTGGGCCGTCTTGGGGCCCGTTTGGGCAATTTTGGGGGGCCTCGTGGGCTGTCTTGGAGCGTCGGGAAGCCGAAAGGCGAGAACACCGAAAGCCTACATCAACCTGAGGAGCATCCATGATTGTTGCTTCTTGGGGCCCTCTTGGAAGGCCTCTTGGGACGTCTTTGGGGCACCTTGGGGTCATCTTGCGCACCTTGGGGCAATCGTTCGGCGACTCGAGGCCCTCTTGGACCGTCTCGGGGGCCCTTTTGAGCCTCTCTTGGCCCGTCTTGGGGCTCTCTTGGACCCGAGAAAGTCCAGCGACAAGATGCGGGACGCCCAAGGGGGCACACGCCAAGCCCCTGGAGGTTGGAGAGCGAGGGGTCCAGGCCTCCTGAGACTCGTCAGGAGTGAGGCTTGCGGCTCAGAGGATTGGGCACAGGACCTCAGGACACGCCCACTCCGTGCCCAGCGGCTCGGTGGCGGATGGTCCCCGAGTTAGGTCGGGCATGTCTTCCTACAGGCGGATTTTCGGGGAAAGCAATCTCACAAACATTCAAACATGGTTTTAAGACATTGTTCCCAGGCTATGTTTGATAATGTTTGAATTTTTCTCCTGTCCAGGGACACGCCTGGCTTTAATCCCAGAGCTTGGAAGCGGCATCCCCCACAGGCCGACACTTTGAAGCACCGTGGCAGGACCTCCGTGGCGCCCCAGAGGGGACTGGAGCGCGCCTCTCCCGGGTCGCGTTTGGCGCGCTCGCCCCCCGCCCCCGCCCCCGCCGAGAGAGGACGAGGCCGTGGACCGCGTGGTGGAGCAGCAGGGCATCGACAGGGTGGCGAAGGCCTCCCTCGCCCGCTCGGCCTCTTCGGCTGCCCCCGGCGGCCTCCGCCGGCCGTCTCCGGCGGAGGAAGAGATGCGTATTCTCAAGTCGGGCGAGTCCTTCCACAGGAGGAGTATTCCGAAACAGTCAAGAAAGAGTCTGGGGACGAATGTTTCACTCTTTTTGACCGTCCTTGAATATGGTTTGACTATTTTTCTTTTGCCCTCCAAATCCGCCTGTCGGAGGACATGCCCGGCCTAAGCCTACACCATCACTGTCACCCCTCCCTCGTCGCCATGGCCTGATTCGCCTCGCAGTCTCTGCCAGAGCGCACCCCGGCAGAGGGCCGCGGAGTGGCGGTAACGGTCTCTTGTTGATCCCCACCGGCGGCGCCCGTCGGCGGCCATAGGCGCCCTCTTGAGAGCCCTCGGTGGCCTATGCAGCGGCGCGGAGGGCGTTCTCGTCGTCGACGTCGTCGTCGCCCTCGGAGGTCTCCAGAGACTTGCACCTGTCGGGTCCGAGGTGTGTCTTCGGTTTCGGCCTGCCGGAGCTTGTGCGTCGCCAGGATCAGAGCCCCATCTCCTGGGGCAGGGTTCGAGATCTCCGGGGTCGCGCTGCGAAGCAGTCGCGACAGCGGGGGTTTGGCTCCTCCCTCCTCAGTCTCGTCGCCAGGTTGGAGTTTGGGGGACCATCCCAGGGACATCTCGGGGACATCTCGGGGCCCCTGGTGCCACACTCTGGCCATTTTGGAGAACACCAGCGCTATCATGAAGCCGTCGTGGGGCCGTAATGGGGCTTTCGTTGGGCCATCCTGGGTGGTTTGGACTGTATCTTGGTGTTTTGGTTCTTGGCCACCATCGGACCACGGGTCGCCTTAGCTAATGCTGGGTGCCCTAGGGGCCATCTAGAAGCGATGTCACATGAAACTTCGAGAACAAAGCCTTGGGCAGGGAAGACACATTCGAGCACACTGGTTTTTCAATGTGTGTTGCTCATTCGCGGGCGTCTTGGGGCCTTCCTGGGCCATCTAGGAGGTTTCTTGGGGCTATCTTGAGCCGTCTAGGGCCCTTGAAGCCCTCTTCGGAGCTTCCTGGGCCGTCCTGGCCATCCTGGCCGTGTGGAGGCGTCCGATGGGAATCCTGGGGCAACCTACGTAGGGCGGCCAGGAGTAACACCCCCCAGGTTGCTTCTGTCGGCGTCCCCAGCCCACTAGTAGGCAGTAAGATGGGGGCAGGAGTTGAGAGGTAGAAGAACACAAGAAGACAGCCAAGCAGAAACCCCCGCAGCCTTGGCGCGGATTTCCTCTCGGCCCATGCGGCCTTGCTTTCGTCGTCCGCGGTGTTTCCTGCCCCCGTCCACGACGCCGACGAACCCCTCAACACAAAGTCGCCCCCTGGACCTCTGTTGGTGTGTGTGTGTGTTCGTGTGTCTTGGCCAGGGCGTCGAGGGGAGCGGCACCGGCCGTGGCGACGAGAGGCTCCTCGAAGGTGCAATAAGGTAGCACGACAAACACACGCACACACACACACACACACACACACACACACACACACACACACACACACACACACGCTCTCTCGAGCCTCGAGCTCCGAACCACCGACGACGACGAGCCCCATGCGCCCGCGACGACGACGATGACGAAGACGGCGGCGACCGAACGGCGGCGGCGGCCTCGACGCCCGCAGGTGATGCAGGCGCACGCGGGCGCCAGCGAGCTGCAGGGCGGCGCCTGCGGCGTGCCCCTGGGGAGGCGGCAGAACTGCCGTCGTCGTCTTGGTCGTGGTCGTCGTCGTCGTCATCGTCGTTGGTCTTGGTCGAGGCTGGGTGACTGCTCGTCGTCGTCAGCCGCTCGACGCTCGAGGATCTAGAGCTGATGGTGGATCTTGAGCTCGGCGGATGCCTGGGGTCATTCTTCGATCTGGCCGACCAGCCGACTACCGCCATCGTCGTCGAGGTCGGATGGCTGCTTGTCGTCGTCGTCGGCCGTTCGATGCTCGAGGATCGAGGGCTGTCGGCGCTGTGTTCATCTACGCTCCTCCCCTTGGCCGTTGTTCGATCTGGCCGGTCGGCCGAGGGCTGTCGTTTTGTCGTCGTGCTGGGTGGGTGCTCGGCGCACGAAGACCGAGATCGTCTGGCTCTGTTTGGCCAGACCCACAGGGGGTCGGCGGATTTCGGTAGCTTCCCGGGGTCGTTGTTCGATCTGGCCGATAACCGTAGACGCGCTAACGGTGCGTTAGCTAACGGCTAAGTCGGATATCCAATTGTAGGGAGGCGTGGTTCGTTTCTAAACCAATTGTAAGAACGCGTGGCTCGTGTTTTCCTACAACTCGTCGTGTTGTTCTCGTTCGATACATTCGCAGATTTTAAATGTAGGAAGTGGGGTTTCGTGATTTCCTACATGTTGTTGTGCGTGAGCTCGGTGTCAAAAAACAATATTCCCAACCGCACCGTTAACCAAGCATGCCGTCAGCGCGGCCTTGGGATCAACCAATTGCCGTCGGCGTCGTCGTCGTCGAAGTCGAAGTCGAAGCCGTCGTTTTCGTCGGCGGCGGCGGCGTCGGCCGCTCGACGCTCGAGGATCGAGGGCTGCTGGCCTTGTTTTGATATCGCTGGCTTCCCAGGGTCATTGTTCGATCTGGTCGATCAGCTGGCTGTCGTATTCGTCTTCGTATCGTCGCCGTCTTCGTCGTCGTCGTGCTCGATGTCGTGTGGCTGCTCGTCGTTGTTGTCGGCCGCTCGACGCTCGAGGATCGAGAGCTTGTTGGCGCTGCTTAAATTTTGGCAGCTCCTCCGGGGCATTGTTCGATCTGGCCAGTCAGCCGACTGCAGTCGTCGTCGTCGTCGTCGTCGTCGTCGTCGTCGTCGTCGTCGTCGTCGTCGTGGTCAGGTGGTTGCTCGTTGTCGTCGTCGGCCACTCGACCGTCGAGGACTTTTGACGTGTATCGTTGTTTTGATTTCGGCGGCTCCCCAAAGGGTCATTGTTCGATCTGTGTGATCAGCCGACTGCCGCCATCGTCGTCGATGTCGGGTGGCTGCTCGTCGACGTCGTCTATCGCTCGACGCTCGAGGATCGAGAGCTGTCGGCGCTATTTTGAGATCGGCGGCTCCCTGGGGTCATTCTTCGATCTGGCCGATCAGCCGACTGCCATCATCGTCGTCGTCGAGGTCTGGTGGAGCTCGTCGTCGTCGGCCGATCGACGGCCGAGGATCGAGTGCTTGTGGCGCTGTCTTGCCGTCCAGGTTCTCGGGAAGGCCCCGAGTCGCCACGCGGCCTGATTCTCCTCGAAGTCTTGGTCTTGGCGCACCCCTGCAGAGGTCCAGGGTCTCATTTTTCGATGGGGCGTCGTTGTGATTGGGCTCGGGCGGCGCGAAGTCCGAGTCGAGCGAGTCTGACCGGGCATTGGCCACGTCTGAGTGAGTAAGCCTGATCGGAGCCAAGGGGCTCCAGCTAGCTGGCCTCAAGCTGGACTCATCCTCACCTGGCGTAGGGGCGTCCGTGTGTGCCACCATGCGGTCGTACGACCGGCAGGTGGCCATACGTCGACAAGTCAAGTCAAGTCAAGTGAGCCGTGCGTCCGGTGGGACGCGTAGGCAGGACAACAAAAATCATGCCAAACGCATGTACGCAAAGTGAGACTCGCCAAATGCGTGCCGGGAGGCGCATGGGGGAAGAGCGCCAAACGCGCCCGGAATGCAGACCGCCAAACGCGCAGCCAAGATGGCGTCATGATGTGTTGCGAAGTTGATTTATGTACCCAGGAGAAGAGGAGAGCGGCGAGAGAAGAAATTGCAGAAGGAGTTATGTCTTCAGAGGTTCGCAGTGTTCTGTGTGGGCTGGCGCTCGGCTGGACCTCTCTGCACCCTGGGCGGCGACCCCCTGGACCTCTCTGCACCCCTGCTCCGCCAGCGGGGGAAGGGATGCGGGGCGAAGGGGGCGTCCGGCGACCCAAGAAACCCGAGCGCCCGAACATGTGCTCTTCTGCTGTGTGGTTTCTTCTCGCAACACTTCACGTTGCATCCTCGGGGGACCTCGCCTGTCCTACAAATTGGTGTTTCTTCTTGTGCCCGACACGGGCCCGATGCGGACGCGCCGCGGATGTGGCGCGGATTCGACTTGGATTCGACACGGATGCGAGATGAATCCGACGATTCCGACGTGGATTCGACACGGATTCGACACGGATGGGGCCGCGACGGGACAGACAAGGCCCCCCGAAGATGCAACACGAGGTTTCTCATATTCGGATTTCGTGAGCAGATCACAGCGGGAGGCTCTGCACGGTTTACGGGCCTCGTGGCTTTCGAGGGTCGATCCGGCTCGAGAGAGAGCACTGGCCGATTGGGTCGAGAGGTCGGGTCGTAGAGTTTCACGACGCTCAGCAGACGTGTCACGAGGTCGGATTTCGTGGTTGCCGTGAGCCAAAGGAGCCGTTAGGGAAAGTGTCCAGGGCTCTTTTGTCGTGTTCAGCCAGTCGGGGCCCCGCCAACAAAAACGACTCAGGATGAGGAACTGTTCCAGGAGGAAGCCCCAGGGCCTTGGCTTCGTTTCCATAGGGACCAGTGTTACCCATAGAAAGAGGTGCCACGGTGGAATGGATTCGGTCCGGCCGCCCGAGGGAGCGCAGCGATGGCAGTGAAGTAAGGGCTGTGCAGGATGACGAGTCAAAAATGCTTGGGGGTAATCACACAGCAGCACCATGGGCGGTGATCCAGGAGATGAGAAGGAGGAGGAGGAGGAGGAGGAGGAGGAGGAGGAGGATGAGGAGTTGGGGGAGGAGGAAGAAGAGGAGGAGGAGGAGGAGAGGAGGAGGAGGAGGAGGAGAGGAGGAGGAATTGGAGGAGGAGAGGAGGAGGAGGAGGAGGGGAGGAGGATCTAGGAGGAGGAGGAATATCGAGGAGAAGGAGGAGGAGATGAAGGAAGAGGAGGATCTAGGAGGAGGGGGGGAGGAGGATCTAGAAGGAGCAGGCGGAGGAGGAGGAGGAGGAGAAGGATGAGGAGGAGGAGAAGGGTCGAGGAGGAATGATCCAGGAGATGGGGTCCAGACCTGCTCGTGGCTTGTGACAGCCGGTATTTGAAGTCTTCGATCGCCCTCTGAAGGTTTTTGTTTGCCGCGGAGGAGGGCTGTGCGAGGAGGAGGAGGAGGAGGCGGAAGAGGAATAGGAGGAGGAGGAGGAGGAGGAGGAGGAGGAAGAGGAATGGGAGGAGGAGGAGGAGGAGGAGGAGGAGGAGGAGGAGGAATGTGTTGAACCGTCCCCGCCGGCTTCATCTTTTTTCCCGATCGTCATCCTGCTTGGTATCGGGGCAGTTGCCGCCCTTCCGCATGCTCAGGTATTGCTCAACTTGGCCGAGAGGGAAAAGCATCGCTGGAAGATCGTGGAAGGGATTGGGGCGCGAGAATCTCCGGTGGTCCTCATGCCCGTCCCGTTGCCTGGAGCATGACCTTCTCGCACCATCTTCAGTCAAGGTCTGTTCTTGCCCACCAATTGTGCTGGGTGCGCACGCCCCGTCTGCACTCTGTGATGGGATGAGGAAGGCGAGCAGGGGGAGGAGGGGGAGGAGCAGGGAGTCAGCAGGGAGGGAGGGAGGGAGGGAGGCACGAGGAGGGAGCAGGGAGGGTGTGACTGAGAACGAGTCGGAGGAAAAGGTACGAAGGAGGAGGAGGAGGAGGAGGCAGGACGAAGAAAGAGAAGAGCGAAAGAGAACGAGGAGGAGGAGGAGGAACAGGAGCAGGAGGAAGGAGGACGGAGGATGGGGGAAAGGGGGACGGAGAAGGGAGGGAGGGAGGGATGATGAGGAGAAGGACGATGAGGAGAACGAGGGCGCATGAATAGGGAAGGGGGTGAAAGCGGGGAGGGGTGAGAGGGACGTCGTTGTTGACTTGATGGAGGGGGGAGAAGGCGCAACAGGATGCGGGGAGCGCCGTTTGTTTTCTGGTCCCCAAGATTGCCCCGACAAATGCTCCCAAGAAGCGCCGACGAGGCTTCTGGGATGACCTTGAGAGGTTCGAGGACGCCCTCGGACGCTCCTGGTGTTCCCCATCCTAGCCCCGACGATTGCCAAGGGCCTTCACCTCTTCCACGTCCCGCTCTGGGTACTTCTCGTGCCTGTTCTCTTCGTCGTCCTCCTTCGTGTCGTCCTCCTTCGTGTCGTCCTCCTCGCTGTCCCCCGCGGTGTTCTTCACTTTGTCTTTTTCTCAGGCGTCATCCCCGTGGTCCCTGTCCTCTGCCGCCTTGTCCTGCTCGTCCTCCTCGTCGTCCTCCTCTTGCCCCCGGGAGCCTCGGCCTCCTCATCAGTCCACCTCGTCCACGCCATTCCCCTCATCTGCGACGCTGCTGTCCTCTTGCCCATCCTTGTCGATCTTGTCGTCCGCCTCCCTTTCGTGCTTGTTTTTCTTGTCTTCTCCTTGTCGTCCTCGAACTCGTTTTCCTTGGCTTAGGCCTCCTGGTCCTCCCCGCCTTCCCCTCGTCCTCAACGCTGTCCACTTCACCACACTCCGTGTCGTCCTCGTCTCCGTGCCTTTCTTCTCTCCCTTCCGAGTGGACAACACCGGCGCTTCCCGCTCTTATTGGGTCCGGTTCTGACGCGCCTGAATGTGTGGCAGGGGGCGCGGTGGCGGTTTCAGATGGAGGGACTTCTGCAGTCTCGACCGACGAACATGTCGACCCTGGAAGATCAAGTGTACCTTCACGTCCTCCCACTTCCTGGCTTGTTGCACCCGTGTGTCCTCCAGCATGCTCGTGGCGTGCTGCCCTTGTGCGAGTCTTGAGTCGCATCGGGTGTCCTGTGGCGTCGGTGCCTGAGGGGGGGGGGTCGCCAGGAGAGCGGGGGCATCGGCATGGTCGCCGCCGCGATGCAGCGGCACTGCCAGGACATTCGGGCTTCCGGGTGGAATCCAGCTGGCCCTGGCGCGGCGCCTCGGCATGTTGCTGACGCGCTCCTGCCAACCTTTGCCCTCCACGGCAAACGTCAACGTCCCCTCTGATCTTTGAGGCGGGAGGAGGAGCAGTACAGTCGAGTCGGTCGCTGAAATGAGGAACAGTTTGAGTTCGGAAAGGGCTCGAGGTTCCTTGGGTCCTTCCATGGCTGCTCCTTTTGCCCTCTTCGTGCACGCAGCCGCTGCTAGTGCTAGAGAGGGGCCTGGCTCCTTATTGCAGCATTCCTTCTCTCGGCGGCCCGACTGTAGGCGCACCTCCGGTGCCCAGCCCTCGGTGTGTTTCGTTCTCCCCCCGGTGCCTCCGATTAGCCTTCCGCCTCGCGGGCTGACCGCTGAGAGCCCTGCGAACGCCCCCCCCGCCGCTTCCCCTGGTGTCGACTCCAGTTGTTTTAGCACACTCGAGTTTTTTTTGTTATCACACTTGAGTTGTTGTTATGTTTCACACTTTGGTTTTTTCAAATCACACCTGGGTTGTTGTGTCACACTCGAGTTTTTGTTGCATACCCGACAGCGCATCCGCTTCAAGAGGTGCGCCGTCTGTTCTTCGGCTGCGTCGCAACAAGGGCTCTGTCCTGGAGCGGCGGCCGTGGCCGACGCGGTGCCCCGTACGTATGGGCTCCTGCGGGTCCCCCCGCCCCCCCCGAGGGGCTCACGAGAGGGGTCAGGCAACATGCCCGCCAATTGCGGGTGTATCGCTGCCGCAGGCTGGCGGCCATGTTAGGGTTCCTCATCTCGTGTCCCCCTACGAGGGATATTCAAAACTAGTCACACAATAGTATGGGAACGAATTGTTATTGTTTATACATTTATATATGAGTCTCCATTGACTATCGTTTAATTTTCTTTCAAAACCCACCTGTAGGAGGACATGCACAACCTAACTCGAAGTGGACCAGACCTTTCCGCAAAGGCTTCCAACCGCGCCAGCAGTCTCCAGGCGGTCGGGTGAAGACACCTACGTACGGTCGGGAATCTTGAGACAGCGTGTCGCTCCGCCGATTCATGTCCACACGCCTCGACGCGACACGCTATCCACTTCGCAGTCCCAAGTCGTCCACGTGCCGAGCTGTTCCCAGCATCCCGCCCCGCAGAGCGGAGCGACACGCTATCTGGTTGCAAAGCATAGCTTGTTGCCGGGACAGCCGCAGCTTCATGAGTTCATTGGCCGGCCCAAGTGTCGGCCTCATGCGTAGCCGAAACGGCAAGGCGCCAGGTTCTCGCGCGGGGCGTCATGTTTTGTGTTTGATGTTATTGTTTGGGCGGGCCCGAACCCAATCTACGTTATCCGCTTTGCTGCTGCATTTTTCTAGCTACTTCTTCCGACCGGTGGTACTCTTATGAAGTATATGCTTTGCACGGTTTCCACCTCGACAGAGCCCCGCGCTTGGGGCAATCATCCACATGCAATCGCCTTGACTGGTTGGACAATGAAAATATCGTGGCGTCCAGCAGCCGGGGCAGCCAGCGGCAACTTGATTTGCTGCGGAACGTCAGGGCTCGGCCGTGTGGTGCGGGGACCAGTCCAGGGATGCATTGCCCCGTCGATCGAGCCCGACCGACGATCCCCAAGCCCTTTAGGAACTCTGATCCACCTCATCGCCTTATAATGGACTTGTGGCATGATCGGTCACCGACCTTGGCGTCCAGCCATGTGGCATATCGGTCAGACGGCTGACCGTGTCGGAGAGTGGCATAAGTTTCAACACATCTCCGAGGTGTAGCAACATCATTGCATATCGAGGCCATATGGTGAAGAGTTGTTTGCCAGCCATGCTCACGAAATCGGCCAGTTGGTGTCCGGATGATGTGTGCATGGGGGCTCAAACGTTTAAGTGGGGAAACCAGCCTTTTTCGTTGCATCCTTGATGTCTAAAGCCTACTGTATATCATTATCCCGTCCTCACGAACACCAGCTTTCTGCGAACCTGCACGTTCCGTGCACAACCTTTTCTTCAACGGTCTGTTGCTCCCCCTTCCTCATCTCGAGATGCGTCCCCCGCCAGGACGAGGAGGTGCTGGAGCAGGGTTGCCAGGCGCGCGCGGAGTGCGCGAGCATACGAAGCGCAGGAGCAGTACAGTTGGCGCTGCACATCGGGAATCATCGTGTCGACGAGCCGACTCATATGAGTAAGCTGAAGGTTGTCCACATACATTGGACATTCGAGGTGTGAGCTCCTTCTGTTTCCGTGTGCCCTGCTCGGGTTGGCGTTGTTACCGCCTTGGGAGGAGGAGGAGGAGGAGGAGGAGGAGGAAGAAGAAGAAGAGCAAGAGGAGGAGGAGGAGGAGGAGGAGGACGAGGAGGAGGACGAGGAGAACAAGATGAGGACGCACGCGCGCACGCAAGCTGTGAGGAGCGGCGCCTCCCGTTCTTGCCCAGATAGGTTCCAGGGAATTGGCCGTTTTGTTCGAGACATCCTCGAGCATCTCGGTTCCAGAGAGGACTCTGAGCCAGCATTATCCTGGAATCGTTCCCGGAGGGCTTCAAAACGTCCCCCCCAGGGGACCCCCAAAGCTCCCCGAGGGGCACCCAAGGAGCATGCAGAGGCCCCCGAGAGTACCCGAAGAGGCCTTGGGACTGCCTAGGAGGGCCCTCAAGACGGCCCAAGACAGCCCAAGCTGGCGCCAAGATGGCTTGAGAGGGTCCCAAGATAACCTTAACAACCCCGACAGGCCCCCAAGAGGCCCCCAGGATGCCCCGAGATAGCCCCAGACGTCCCCAAGAGACCCCAGTGTAGCCTCAAAAGATCACGAGGACCCCTCTCTTCTTGAACGTCCTTTCCGTCGGGCTCCTTACCACCCTTCGTCGTCGTCGTCCTTCATCTTCTCCTCCTCCTCGTCCGCTTTGTTCCTCCACGTACTCGTCCTCTTCCACCTTTTCCTCCCGATCATCGTGCTTGTCTTCCTAATCGTTGTCCTTCTTCTCCCCTCGCTGCCCTCCCCCCCATCATCCACGCTGCCATCCTCGTTATGCGCCACCTTGTCGTCGCCATCATCCTTCTCTTCTTTTCCCCCTGCGAGCCAAATAGACAAAGTCGTCACTTCACGTTCTTGTCCGATCAGGTTGCAGTCCATCGGCTTGAGCTTTGCCGCACCCCAAAGACTTTTTTCTTTATTATTATGGGATTGCTTATCTCGCTAGCGGGCTGGCAATCTAATCGTTCTCCCCCCTTTGCGTCTCTGGCGAAAGGCCCTGTACGCGCTGGCCTACCACCAGGACCTCCGGCAACGGCGGGGAGGCTGGAGGAGAGGACATTCAGCCAAGGGCAATCAGGAGCGAAGCGAGCGGTAGCCGAGCGCGATAGTCAGCAACATCCAGGGGTGAAGGCTAGCAGTACGAGCCGGAGCACGGCCAGCATGGGCGGGCAGAGGCGAACACCGGATGGGCTCGGCTGGTGTTCAGGAGGGGGAGAAACACACAAACACAATTCATCGTCGATTCCCAGGGAAATATAGGGGAAGTGGGGGTGAAGACGAAAACCAAGAAAATATTGAAAGATATATTTGTGTGCCCCTGGGCCCCTTCAGGTGTGTCGTGGTGAAGGGCTGCCCAGAGCGCCAGCCGCAGAGGCCAGGGCCGTCGGCAGCAGGCGGCCCCCATGGGCAAGACACGGGGCCGATCGCTGTGGTCCACGTCCGGCGACTTCCGGGCATCAGCGCGGCCTCTTGGTGGACTGGAGTTGACACAGGGTGGTCTTCCCGCAGCCATCACCTCTCTCCCTCGTCTCTTCCTCCTCTTCCTCCTCACTGTCCTTGTTGTCCTTATCCTCGTCCTCTCTGAGTGCTCCTTCTCCTCGTCATGCCCTCTCCGTCTTCCTTTATCGTCACTCGTCTTTCTCGGCGGAAGAGGGCAGCGCATGTGAGAGGAGGAGGAGGAGGAGGAGGAGGAGGAGGAGGAGGAGGAGAAGGAGAAGGAGGAGGAAGAGGTGGAGGAGCGGGCAGGTAAAGGCGCGGCGACAAAGACGGCGGCGGCGACGGCGGCGACGGGAACCATGACGGCGACGGCGACGGCGGCGACGGCACGTCTAGCGGTCTGCAGACGCCTGTGGAGGCCCTCCGACAGCCCTCCGACAGCCCTCCGACAGCCCTCCGACACCCCTCCTAGCGGCCTCCGAATGGCTTCTGTGAGCCGGAGCAGGCTCTCCGAACGGCTTCTCCGAGGCTTCCGCAGCGGCGGCGGCCGCCGGCGGCTGGCTGCGGCGGCGCCCCCAAAGCTTTCCACAGACTGCGCTAAGACACCGCGTACATCGCTTGGGGGCGAGATATACACTACATGAGTAAATGCACTACGCGGGAGCACTGCTTGAGAGAGACACGGGGGGGTCAAAACAAACACTACACTCACGCAGTGTCTTCGGGCGACGAGATCTATACATATATGTCGCTCTCGCACAGTGCTTCCACGTGGACGACGCAACAAAAAGCAGGCCCTTTTGCGCCGACATTGGGCCCGTAAGCGGACCGCGTAAGGTCGCGCGTAAGCGCCCTCGTCTCCAGTGCAGCGTGCCGCGCCGGCGGCCCACGTACGCCACCGCGTATGGCCGCTACGCCACCTCGCGTGAGACCCGTTTTTGATCGTCGCTTACGTAGTGCTTTGACGATTGTAGTGTCGGCCTCGCCTCCCTGCGATGCACGCAGTGGATACGTCGACTACACGCAAGAGTGACCCTTCGCCGGAGTGACCTTTGGTGCGGGCTCACCAGCCCCCCCCGATTGCTGAGCGCCATGCGATAGTTAGTGGCTGCTTGCGCGATTGGATTTGGCCACCTTGCGCCCCGCTTGTCTGCGTAACGAAAGATCACTCTTGCCTAGGTACACTCTTTGCGTGTAGCCGAGTCTGTCTGGATCCCGTCGCCCTGCCTCTGCTTCCCGGGAGGACCTGCGGCCCCACGTGCTGGCGGCCAGCGGCCGCGACGCCGCGGCGCTCGCGGCATCCTACGCCCCGCCGGGCGGCGGCGGCTGCGGACGCGCGCGGCCCGGCCGCGCGGGGAGGTCGTCGCCCTCGGTGGTCGTCGTCGTCGTCGTCGTGGTCGTCGGCGCCGTCGTCGTCGTCGTCGGCGCCGTCGTCGTCGTCGTCGTCGTCGTCGCTGGGGAGCTCTGAAACGGCCTTTCGTCGCGAAGCATCACATCACGGCCGGAGGTCTTCTGGGCACCGTCGGTCTCCTCGGGGCCCTCACCGGCCCCGGGGCGCCTCCTAAAAGAGCTCGGCACGGAGAAGCAGAGCATGGGGATGGGTCCAGGCCGCCGGGGAGCAACGGCAAGAAAACGGTGTTGGATGTTTGGGAGAGCCGCCGCCGTCGACGCCGTGGTCGTCGTCGCGTCGTCGTCGCCGGCGGGGAGCGCAGTCGCCGCGTGACCGCCGACGGCGCAGAGGTTCGTTGGCGGAGGTTCGAGCGTCGGAGTTCGAGGGTCGAGGTTCGACGGTCTCGAGGTTCGACGGTCGAGGGAAGGCCGACTTCCGAGGACCGACGGGCGAGGGCCGGGGCTCGACGCCCCAGATTGTTTCAACATCATATATTGAACCGCCAGGGGGAGGCCCCCGGGACCCTGGAGATGAGCGGGGGCAGCCGGAGACCGCCGTGGCCGCCGTCGCATCGCCGACGCTGTCGCCGTCGTCGTTGTCGTCGCCGTCGTCGTCGTCGTCGTCGGAGGGGAGGAGGGGGAGGAGGGGGAGGAGGTCGTTGTCACCGCCAGCGCCGCCGCCGTCGTCGCAGCGTGGGGGCCGGCGGCTGCGCGGGCGCAAGCGGGCCCGGGGTGCGCCGAGGTTGGGGCCCAGGCCCTTGTTGGCGTCTTCAGCGCAAGGGCCACCGCGGGGGAGCGAAGCGATTCGCGATTCGCGGTTCGCGATTCCTCATGAGGCTGTGTTTTTAAATCGGCGGCGAGCGAGGGGGGAAATGAGAAGGAGAATGCCTTCTCAGAAAGCGGCGGGGCTTCTCAGAAGCCCTCGCGCCTTCTGAGAGGGCGGGGGAACTCCCGAGCCCTTCTGAAAAGGCCTGCCCCTCCTCACTTCCCCCCCCCGCTCGCCGCCAGTTAGAAAGGGTCTGGCCGGAACAGGGTTATGTCGGGCCCGCTCGCGCCTTCCCCACTCCCCCCCGGGTATAACCCTTGCCCTGACGGTCGAGTAGGTCCGAGCGGGGCACGCTGTGCTGGTGCGCGCGGGCACATCGGAGAGGGCCTGCCCAACGCAAAGAAGCGGTTCGGGGTCATCGGCCGGCACCTCCTCCCCACGCCGTGCAACCCGGGCGAGTGCCGAAAAGTGAAGAACGCTCTCCATCCTCTCCTCCTCGTCCTTCTCTTCTCCTCCAGGGGGCGGCGCGAGGGCGCGAGGTCGTTCGCGCTTCGCAGAGCGCAGAGCGCGAACAGAGTTGCCCCTGAGAACAACCCGACGGGCGGTGTTAGACAATCTGGGGCACCCTGGGGGTCCTTGCCAGGCGCCGGGGCCGTCGACGGGTCTCGCGCGGAGGCGCTGCGTGTTGCACGCGTCGCAGGCGTACGGTTGCCTGGAACTTGTTCTAAGTCGCATTGGAGGATTCGGTGGCCAGTCATGGCTGGTCGGGGGTCCGCAGAGGGGTGGCGTGCAGCCCAAGCCGCTGTTAGTGGGCGAATCCGTCCGGGAGCGGGTATGCCTTCATGCATGGGGCCGACCACAGCGAGGTTCCTCCGAAATCCCCATGCCCCATCCCCTCTCTGAATTTCCGAGTTGGACGTCCAGCACGCTTTACCTCTGGGTGGCGTCCAGCAGTTGCAGGCAGCCGAGGCGCAGATGTGGTACCCTTATCCCCGCGCCAGTGTGTTCTGAAGAGTATATCGCGCTGTTTTCGATTGCTCCTTCAAGTTGCATACCATGGTACTCTCCGGTGAGCTTTAGCTTCACACTGTCGACATGGAGTGGTAAAAGTGCCCAACAGCAGGACATTGGCGGTAGCGATTGACGTCTCGGAACAGGCACCTCCCGCAGGGATACACAGCTCGAGTTGTCATCGACCTGGCTATGATCCTTTAGGCTGGCACGCACCATCGGTGGGATCTCGGTTCTTGCTCGAAGAGCAACAAATGACATAAACATAAACCTCTGGAGGTCCGCGCGGGTTTCTCGGATAGGCGTTGGACACCCCTGGCGGCGCCTCAGGCGCCGCCCTTGGCGCGCTCCGCGCGCCAAGGAGGGGGGTCTAGCGCCTGTCCAAGAAATCCGCGCGGACTTCGAAAGTTCATGCTTATGCCATCCTATGTTGCTCCACTTGCCTCCCAGCGTGCCGCTCGGCCAAGGCGCGCTGTGGTTCTTCGGCAGGCACACGCCATCAATGGGGTCTCTCGTGGGCGAAAAACATAGTTATATCCGTGGCCTCGCGGGCAGGACTCCTGGGTCGTGACCCAGCGGATTCGTAGCGTGGTTGTTCGCGGATGCCCCGTGCGGGACATATCGGTGCCACCGCGTATATCCGCGGGATCGCGCCCAGGAATCCAGACGGCGAGGGCGCGCATACGGATATGTTCGCCGCTCCTGAGATCATCAGTAAAAGTTGAAGCAGATGGCCACGACTGCAGCCCTAGACCACATCTTTCTACGCCAGTTTTTCGAGCCGGATCGATCTGTGAGGATGAGCGAGGGCGAAAACGCCCGGCTCGAAACATTGAGTCGCTCTTGCCTCCCAGAGCGCCTTGCGGCCAAGGCGCGCAAAAGATGGGCCGCATGCTGCAGGAGGTGCTCGCGGTGGCCTGCTGACTGCCGGGCCCCCCTCCCGCGCAGCGCATCCGCGGGCTCCTGCAGCGGCGTCCCGAGGAGGCCGCCTGTGTCCACCTGGAGGCCCGCCCATGGCCACTGCAGCGCTGTCGCAGCAGCAGTTGTGGCACAGTTGCCTCGGCCAGGGCATACTCATGGATCGGCACTGCGATCGTGGAGGCAAACTTCCTTGAGTACCTGGCGACTCAATTCTAAAGAGCCGGGCGTTTTCGCCTGGCTTCGGGCCCCAAGGCCACTCACAGATCGATCCGTCCTGAAACATTGCGCAGAAAAATGAATTCTATGCTTAAGTCGGGCACTTCCCTCTACAGGAGGAATATTCAGAAACAGTAAAGAAATTGTCTGGGGACGATTTTCTGATTTTTGACTATTTTTGAGTTTATGTTGGATTTGTCTATATTGTCCTCTAAAATCTGCCTGTAGGGGATCATGCCCGACCTAATTCTAGGCCTTTGTTCGTGACTTGTCACGATGCTTTTGGTCTCATTCCGGGGCGCGATCCCGCGGACACGCGGTCGCGCGCACGCGTTCCGCGCAGGGCATTTGCGAGAGCACACGCCTCGTATCCACGGGGTAGCGGCCCAGGGGCCTGGCCCACGAGGCCGCGGATGCGTTCATTTACGTCGGGCATGGCCCTCTACAGGAGGAGTATTCAAAAATAGTCCAAAATAGTTCGGGGACGACTTTCTGACTGTATTTGAATATTGTCTGATTACTTGTTTGACTATTTTCTTTTCTTCTCTCAGGATCTGCCTGTAGGGGGACATGTCCGGTCTAAACTTTAATGCTTTTTCGCCCACGACATACAGTTGGAGCTGCAAAGATAGCGTGCGACGTGGCGACGCCGGCCCGTTTATCTCACGCCGTCCCCCGCCTTGGGGATGGTGTGCACCGAAGGAGCCCTGGCAGAGGGATACACCTTAGGCGATGCTTAAGAAAACCTAAGTTTTCGTCCAGAGTCTCGATTATTCTTAACTTTTCAATGTAAATCCCAAGATTTTGATAGAAGTTCGGGTTTTTTTATTCAAATTCGCAGACTCTGAATTTCTTAACCCATGATTTCTTGAGCATTTCGCAGGGTGTAGCGTGCACGGAGGAAGCCTTCCTTTGGGTGGTGGCGTGCTTTTCGGAGGTCGGTGTGGCACAATGTCTTTGCGACGCCAACCGTGCGCACCCATCGCTCGCTCAAAGCTGGTATATTGAGGGGCTCCCAGGCTCCCACCTGCGCTGGTCGCCTCCCTATCTCAGGAGCCGAGCGGTCTTTACTCCCTCCTCTCCTGGCGGCCGAAGCCCAGCCTATTCCCAGCATCTTCCTACGACGAGCAGGGCGCAGACGCGACCCGATTATAGCTGCCTTGACACGCCCGTGTTGAGACGCAGCACGTACCGTTCTCAAGACGTCCCTGTTGAACATGTTGCATGTTGGTATGGCACGTGTTGGCCTACGTTTTGGCGCTCGTATCGCGCCAGACCTACGTTTCCAGTCTGCATGTTGAGACCCACGTCAAAACGGCACGGGTTGCGAGTTGCGTGTTGCGTATCGGGGGAGCCCTCGCCGGGTCTCGGGACCGTCAAACAACGATTCAGGATGAAAAACCGGTCCCGGGGAACGGGTCGGGACTTCCAGGGACCCCGTATTGAAAAAAACCAGACGTCGCATGTCTGGGATCGGCACCGTTGGGGCCTGGGGGGCACGACACTGTCCTCGTCGGGCTTTCTCGGGGCGCGGCGGAGAACTCCTGTTGTAGAAGTCCCCACCCGCCTCCCAGGGTGTCCCCCAGCATGCTGGATGTAAACCACCCTTCGGCACGAACGAACGACATGGATACGGACAGACTGAGCGCGATGCCCAATAGCAGTTCCTGTTCTTTTTGAGCAGAACTCGCTGTCCGCGTCGCCGCGGACCTTGGCCACTCGAGACGGAAGGCTTCCTGCCAACAGCGGCCGCTGTCGGTTTTGGGCAACACTTGCTGCTGGGGATCGTATCCGTTCCGGGCGTCCCAAGAGGAGCTGGGCGGATCCCGCCCCCCCCCTTGGGCGCGGCGGCGACGACGATGACGACGACAACGACGACAACCGTACCCAGCGTCCAAAGCCTTCCGCAAAGCCACACCCTTCTGAGTCGCCGGCCAGAGGGGCACCGGCCTCCCCGCAAGAGCGCCGTGCCCTCGAGCGAGGGCCGCGCCCCGCGCCGCCGCTCGTCGGCGGTGCGCGGCCAGGCTCGGCCCTGTGCCGACGCACGCCGGCGCCCGACGCTCGCCCTCCTTCCGCAGGTGCTGCTCCAGGTAGGAGCGAAAGAAGGACGTACATGTACATGAATCCACGCTGGTTTCGAGAGCACGCATTGCACAAATGTTCGTATCACGCGGCCGGACTCGGGTTTGCCAGGACTCGGGTTCGGGTTTGCCAGGACTCGGGTTTGCCAGGACTCGGGTTTGCCAGGACTCGGGTTTGCCAGGACTCGGGTTCGCCATCGTTTTTTGACGGCCGCGACTCGGATTTTTGCCGAGTCGGAGTTTCGTGGGATGTCTGCAGCGGGAGGCCTCGTCAAAATGCAGGCTCGGCCTCGTCATTTTTGTTGACGACCTCGTCGGGGAGTGGGATTTCCGAGTCCCCTGTACCCGGGTCTTACGTCCCCCCGATAGGTAGGGGGGCGAACAGTGACAGTATTACCAGTTTGGAACATATGCCCATCCCCGTGTTTGGCATCACCTCACCTCGATGCCGATCTTCAGGATTCCCTCAGTTTCTGAGGGCGCATCCCCAAGATTGTCCTCGCTTTTCGCTCGCCCATCTTTAGGGGTAGGGATAAGTCCGAGGCTGGTTCTAAAAATGAGAACTCGGAGGTCCGCGCGGATTTCTCGGATCGGGCGCGCTCCGCGCGCCAGGGGGGGCCCCAGCAGCGATCCGAGGAGTTCGCGCGGACCTCCGTGTTTTCATGTTTTTGCCACTCTTCGTTTCCCTAATAGGAGCCCAGACTCGTAACAAAAAACACGACGGGGGGATACAGTCAACCCGAACAGTAAGGATGGGTAAACTTCCCAAGGGTACTCTTGCATCCTTGCCTCCTCGGTCCACCCTGGGCCACTTTCGTTGGCCGCGCCCCGCTCGAAACGCTTCAAGATGGGCGTCCAAGGCCTTTGCATCCTTCTCGCGCATCCTTAAGATACGGGCCGACTGTATTTTGACCATGTTCGGCCCCCGGGGGCCCTCGCGTGGCCTCAGGACCGTCAAGAAACGACTCTGGGTGAAAAACCGGTCCTCGGGAAAGCGCCCAGACATGCGACGTCTTGATTTTTTCAAAACGGGGTCCCTGGAAGTCTCGACCGTTTCCCCGGGACCGGTTTTTCATCCTGAGTCGTTTCTTGATGGTCCCGAGGCCCGGCGAGGGCCCCCCGAGGCCGAAAATGACAAAAAATCTCCCGTCCTGATTTGTATACGACGCGATCATGTCAGGGGTCGGGATTTTCCCGGACCGCGTCATGAAACAAATATGTTTGGGAGTGCCAGGTGTGCCTCATGGTGCCCCCGCCTGCAGGATTCCCAAGGAGGCCCCCACAGCCTCCAGAGGTCCCCTCACGAGACGAGGCCCAGAGGGCCCTGCGCCCCGGGACCACCACACGGATCGACCCAGCTTGAAGACTGATGCAGAAAGGAGGGGCCCCAGGGCTCCAGTTTGTGATGTTTCGCGATGTGGCGAGCTGTGTGCAACGTCGAACCTCAGGATCCTGCGGAGCTCTCGGTCGTCACGGCTGGATGTTTTCCTCGCACGGCTGATCAGGTGGCGTTCCGGCAGAGTGCCAGGGAGTGGCGGCATCTGTATCTCTTCGTTGACAGTAGAAAGCCATGCCAATTTTGCCTCCAGGGTGCCCTGGATTTCTTGGGTTTCGATGGTTCTGCCATGGGCAGCGGCACCAGAAATCAATGAACGTCCTGGGGTCTCAGGTTTGCGTTTCTTGTGGAAGGTCTCTTCTGGTCGAGCTCCTACTGTACCGAACAGCCGTTCCCCTCGGGCCGGCCGGAGAGAGGCATGCCGGTTCCGAGGCCTTCCTCTTCTTTTCCGCCCCCTTGGGCCTCCTGCGGGGCCCTCCTGCACGCCACGGCGGGGTTCCCCTGGGGGTCCTGGTCAGAACTCATCCCGCGAGAGGCCCAGGGAGTCGCTTTAATATATTTTTGTTCTTGCTGTGGGGCCGCCAGTGGTTATCAGAGTCCCTCCTGCCTCTCAGGGGCCCGCCCCTGGTTCATCGCAGCATCTCGCAAGCACGGCATAGTTGCAATTGGTGGGGCGCAAGTGGAGGGTGCAACCGCCATGGCTAGGGGGTTAGCTACCTCAGGCAGGTCGCAAGCACGACAAGAGAGGTAAGTCGTTCTCTACGCTGCACCCCGCTGACCTTTCTCTCCCACTCTTCCCCCCGCGTGCCTCTGCCTGGCCCCGTCGGGTCTACTTCCCCCGTCCTTCCCTTTCCTCGGGCACAGGGGGATGTATTGATTGGCATGTTTCCCTCATCTTGCTCTGGAGCACTTCCGATGTTGCCGGTTAGTTCTGGTTCCTGACTCTCCCCAGGGATGGTTACATGCTCGGGGAAGCATCCAGTCTCAATATGGCATTTCTGCAATCTAGCTCATCCCCATAGTCCGCTGATGCGCAGACCCAGCTCCTTGCTCGGCCCGTGGGAGGTACTTGCGTGCCTCATGGAAGAATCCAGAAAGAGCACAGACTCACAGCACCCGTCGGCATCGTGCAACGGCTACCGCACTGCTGAGTCATAGGTTTGCGAGGGGGTGCAGGGGCGTCTTCATATTGCAGCCCTTCAGTATTACACTTCTCACACAACCCATGTGCCACCAGCACCCCCACCGCACTCTGATCTACACTGCCTTGCCGGATGTCATCATCCCTCAAACAGATTGTTAGCATGAGGTGCCCTACAGTATAGTTTCATGCGCGAGTCCTTCACCACATGGAGGCGCCCTCCGCTCTAACGACTCAAATTCAACAGGCGGCTCTGAGTCAGCAAGCATATTTCACTGCATGACCCCTGTGTGACCAGGACTTGCATGATATCGTGTACATGTCATGGGTTGACTTGACCAGGATACAGCTGGCAATCGCCCCCCGAGACCAGAAACATGGAATTTGCCGGATCTGCCAGGAGAAGTCCTGACTGTATTTTCGTGGGGGCTGTCCTTGCAGAATCGGTTCCAAGACGAGCGGCCAGCGCAACGTAGACAACAATCTGGATCAGCAACATAGCGGCACATGAGTATGGAGTGTTCATGCGTTGCGCGTCTCAAGTCATGAGTCCCTACATCTCTTGCGCTCATCCGAATCCTCAGCATTTCCCTCCTGCCGTCCAGCGTGCAGTTTTGTTTTTCCCGCGATGGCGTCGGCGCCACGCCGGATTCGCTAATGAGGCGAGCTGCTTCTACACAGTTGGCCAGCATTTCCTCTATCACGAGGGTGGCGCCAGGGGATCGCAGACTGGCTAAGGTCAGAACCCGAACTGCGATCGAATCGGAGGATCGCCGAGCCATCGGGGAATCCACAGCGAAGGCCAGAGCCATTTGCGATTACCGTAATCAGCAGCGAAGGGGATCGGTCAGCGTCCCTCAGGACGAAGTAGATTAAGTGCAGCCTTAGTGCGCTGTCTCTGCATAGGTCTTGTCGGCTGAATGGCTAGGCTGTCCTCTGCGTCGACTGCGAATCATGCATCGAGTGGGGTTGATAGATGAGGAGAGGTGAAGGAACAGAGCGGGAACGTGGGTGGAGTGGGTTGAAGGAACATGTCCAAGGCGAAAGGTGAAAGGGACGACGCCAAGGCATGGGGGATATCATCGCGCATTCAGTGACAGATCATGTTGTAGAGTATCTTAACATCAGCAGTGGCATAACCAGAGATCAAGCCTGGACTCACGCAGGAGATGCAGCGAGGGCTTCAGTGCAGGGAAGCCCCGCGCTTTTTCAGCCCTCTGCCATCATGCTATTCGTAGTATATCAGACCGCTGGCGAGGACCCTGCTGACACCTCCAAAAGTTCAAAGTTTATGCATCTTGCGCCTTCGGTGTCGCTAATGCGCAGGACCCATATTTCAAATGCTTTCGTTATCTTGCTCACAACCTCTTCCGAGTCCCAGTGATCATGCCGTCCGCTCGTCGTGTTGGTCCAGGGCTGATGGACGTGTTGCGAAATACATGGTTCAGGTCTAGCAGGCGGCAGGCAAGAATGGCGCACGGTGAGGCAGTTTGCGCTGTACTTCTTGGGTGCCCTAGGCCGCTGCTAGCGGCTGGCTGGCTCCCTCCCGATGTGTTTGCAGGCCGCGCGAGAGCAGTTGACACTTCTGCCGAGGAGCGGCGTCCCTGAGGCCTGGGGACGCCCCAGCATCCCCGAGGCCGCCGCCAGCGCACGCCTTACCGACCCAGGGGGTAGGTCAGCCCCTCTTGTCTTGGCATCACTCGGACGTGGGCATTTGTGTGTTCACCGAGGGCCCTCGAGGAGCCGATAGGATCACCACGACATGCGGAGCGATGAGCGCACGGAGTCGACAGATGCGTGGGGGATGGACGTCCGAGCGATGGCGAGCTGCCAGTCCGAGGGCAGCCACCGGCCCCGATCGCACGAGGCTCGCATCTGCTGCTCACACCTCTCAGTCGGTCCGCCTCCGCCGAAACATCGGCGTCTGGCCCGAAGGAGAGCGCCGTGTTCGCCCCGAGGTGCGCAACGGTAGCCTCGCTTCGCGCCTCGCGTTTCGACGGGCTGCTCCTCTCGGGCGGGGCGGCCTGAGGCCGCGAAGTTGGCCGCGCGTCGCGTCGCTGGAGAGGAAGCGTGTTGCCAAATAATTCCCAGATGCTAAAAGTTTCAAACATGACTTGAGCATGTAATTCACATGTTGTAAACATGTGTTAAACATGCTTGGGACATTCGAAAATCGTGATAAGCATATGTATAACTCAATGATAGGATTGCTCGAGTGCCCATCGTCATGGCAGCCACAAGACCTACGCTGCTGGGGCTTCGCGCGGATTTCTTGGATCGGCGCTGGCCCCCCACCCCCAACGGTGCCTGCGGCGCCGCCTCTGGCTCGATCGGCGCGCCTAGGAGGAGGGCCCAGCGCCGATCCAAGAAAGCTGCGTGGAGCTCCGAGAGTTCATGCCTCTACAGTTCTTGGTCCTCTGGTGGGTGAAGCAGCAGCGTCAGCACGCCCAGGGCTTCCTCCCGCTGACGCCACGGGGTCTCCCCAGCCGCCCTGGACCCAGACCTCCGACGACGCGATCTTTCTCGCAGCGCGCCCCCTCCTGGGACTTTTCCTCCGACGACACGCTCCATTTCTCGAGACATGTTCCCCAGGCCAGCCTGCCCAGACAGGGCCTCTGGACGCCGCGAAGGGAGAGAAGGAGCTGTGAGCTGCAGCGCGACTATCGTTCGCGTCGCCTGGAGGTGTGGGGACGTGGCGGGCAGGCTCAGGACCGAGGTGCACTTTTTCAAGAGCGCTCCAGGCCGCTCCTTGAGTTTTCTGGAGCGCTCTGGGGCGGCCGCGGCGCCCGCTGCATCATCCAGAATCGCTGGCTCCTCAGAACTCCCGGGTTCATCTCGACCCGGTCTTGGTTTCTGGGGGACCAGCTGCCGGACTGGTGGGCTTCGGGGAAGGGTCGAGTAGGAGAGCGGCTACAGAATCGATTTACCCCCAAATTGGTTTCCCCAGTCGGATCGACGAAAAATACGCAGAATGCTCCGTCGAACGAACTGTAGAACATTCTGCGCGTTTTTCGTAGATTCGACGAGAAAACAAGTTTGGGGTGAATCGATGTCCCAGTCGATCCCCTATTGGAAGGGGGGACGGCAGGCGCTGGGGACGGGAAAGTGGCACCCCAGGCGCCCCTCCGAGCGCGCGAGGTGGGAGAGCGGCGGGTTCGACGACCAGATGCTGGGCTGGGGTGGCGAGAACATTGACCAAGGCTGGGGGGCCTCTCCCCCTCCTCCCTCTCCCTCTCCTCCCTCTCCCCCCTCCTCCGGCCTGGCTCCGCGCGCCCGGCGGCCGTCCCGAGGGTCCTTGCGGGGGCGATCTCCCTGGTGCCGCCGCGTGGCTGTCCGTCGTGCGGGCCCTCTAGAGAGCCCCCTCCTCAACCTCGCCGGTCTTCCTGCAGAGGCCAGGGCTGGGACAGGCCAGTCGCCTGCTGCCCAGCAGTTTCGCCAGAGAGAGGCCGTGCCCGCGGCCTCGCCACGCGACCCGTTCCAAGCAACCAGCCAACCAGCCAGCCAGCCTGTCCTCCTGCTCCCGGCCTGCTCTCTCCGCCTGGCCCCCCGTCGCTTGCCCTCGTCACGATCGAAACGGGTACGGAAAGAATGGGTACGATCCCCAACAGCAGTTCTTGTTCATGTTGAACAAGACGCACTGTCCGCGCCGCTGTGGCCTGTGTCCGTTTGAGACACAAGGCCGCCTGCCCAGCAGCGGCCGCTGTTGGTTTGGGACAACATCTGTTGTTGGGCATTGTGTCTATTTTTTCCGTACCCACTTCGGGCGTCCAAATGCCCGCCTGCCCCGCCGGCCCCGGCCTCCCGCCTGCGCGCTCGTCTTCGTCTGCCTGCTTCTCCCCTCCCCCCCTGCCCCTCTTCGGCGCAGCCTGCCAGAGACCAGCGTGGCGGCTCGTAGGGGAGGGGGGTCCTGGCTGGAGCTTCTCGGCGGCACGCTGGACAGTGAGGAGGGGGCAGGCATGCTCAGGAGGCAGCGGCCTTCTCAGAAGCCTTCCGGCCTCTGGCTTTGGAGGATGCTCCGGATGCTTTTCCGGGAGGTCCCGCCCTCGTTCTGTGCTTCCCCTGGGCGCACCGCCGAGCATCGGACACCTTGTACCCCTTCCGTCACGGGACAGTCGAGACGGCCAGGCTTTTTCCCGTTAGCCAGCCTCGAAATTATATCCTATCCCCAGAATTCACAAGGCAGGAGGCGACGACAATCTGAGGGATGCGCCCTCGAAAACTGAGGCAATCCTTGAGATCGGCATCGAGATGAGGCGATGCCAACCTTCGGGATAGGGATAGGGCTATGATCCAGCCTTGTACAATCTGGGCCTCGGGGGCCAGTTTCGCGCCACTGGACCTTGAACATCGCCCAGGGCGGAACACCCATTCTGGTGCAGGGGTCGCGGGCTTCGGGGCTGGCGGCTCGGAGAAATCGAGGCGCTGGAGGTTTGGGGACGCTCTGTCCGAAACAGTCGGGCCACCCAGAGCTTCCATCCGCGCCTCCCCTGCTAGACATATCAACTCTCAAGGTACCAGTCTCCACTGGCACTCAGATAGGCCGCTGGAGGGATTGGTTGTGGAGCCTTCGAGGCTGTGCACTCTGCGATTGTGAGGCCTCGAGAGAGGCCTCGTGTCATGTAATGTTTTTCCCATGCGATCCGATATCCTCGTCGTCTTCATGCCCATCGCCGTGCAACAAAAACAATGCGATGGCTGCCAGTACTCACGGCGGGTTCTTGGATGGGGTGGGTGGGTGGGGGTGGGGGGGGGGGGGGGGGGGCGAAAGCGCCCTCATGATGCAGTGAGCCAGTGATTCGCCGTGTGAGCCCTCGGGGGAACAGCCCAGCGGTCGTGCTTCTCTGTCAGTGGGGATGAGGGTGGGATTCAATTTAGACTACTCATCGGTAGCTGAAAGCACGTGTGTGTTATGCAGATCGATTCCTCTCGCGGTCGTTGGGCGTACGTCTGGACTGCGGAGCGCACGGGCTTTTCTTACGTCCTGGGCAATCGGGACCTTCCGACCGCAATCCAGCATCACGTTCAGACTGAGTTATTGTAACTGAGTTATACTCGGGGTCCCTCAATAGGTCTGGGCCCCCAGACTACAGGTACCCCCCAGACTACGGGTATACTCTCCCCGAACAATCCCTCGGACTAAAGGTACCCCCCCTTGACTCCAGGTCTTCCTCCGGACTACAGGTATACCCTCTCCCCGAGCTATTCCTCGCCCCCCTTGACTACAGCAGGTCTTCCTCCGGACTACAGGTACACCCCCGGACTACAGGTACCCCCCAGAACTACATCCACGCGTGCGTTGACGCGTGAACACGCGTTCCCCCCCAGTCTGCAGGTACCCCTCCCCGGACTACAGGTACTCTTCCCCCCGACTACAGGTACCCAACCCCAGACTATTGGTAACCCCCCTGGACTTACAGGTACCCCTCCCCCGGACTACAAGTACCTTCCTGGGACTACAGGTACCCCCAGAGTTCTTGAGGAACACAGAGTAAACGCCCACTATCTGAGGGTAACTCCGCAGGGCATTCACGTGGGTTGTGTTATCTCAGTCCAATCGGGGGGGGTCCGAGGGTGGAGTTGGAGGTGCGCGGGCCCTGGATGCGCGTCGATGCAGCGTCTTCCGAACAAGACGTTGGATGTCCGAGGGGGGGGGGCAGGGGGAGATGGGGCAGCCAGCGGCGCGGAAAATCCTCGATCATCTGTCCTGCTTCTCCTCCCTCTTTCTTCTTCCATCCCTTCTCCCCCTCTTCTGCCTCATCCCCTCTCCTTCTCCCTCCTCTTCTTCCCTCCTTTTTCTTTGCCCTCCTCCCTCTGCTTCTTCCCTCCTCCTTCTCTTTCCCTCTCTCCCTCCCTCCTCTTCCTCCCTTCTGCGAATGGGGGGGCGCACATCCGATGTCGTGGCTGTGTCAGTACGGGGTCCGAGCTTGGGTCGTGGACAGAAGGCCTCCCGGCATCTTCCGGGGGGGTGTCTTCGGGGAGGCTCCCCGGAAGCCTTTTGGGAGGCACGCATGTCAGAGCCACCCTCTCCGGGAGTTTCTGGACCCCCGACGTCGTGATTTTTGCGCAACGTGACCCCCCCGGATGTCTGGACCCCTTCCCCGGAAGCAGCTTTTGATCCTGGGCCGTTTTTGGATGGTCCCATGGCCCCAGTAAGGGCTTCTAGATGTCGACAATTTCCGAAAACCTCTTGTCACAACGCTTCAGGACGAGAGGGGCTCTGGCGTTCCTGGTGGAGAGCGATGACGGGCGGACGGGATGCCAGAGCGCTCGACAAGTTT